AGCACTGCATTCAAATGCATGAGGAGGCCGTAGATCAGGCTTCCAACGAGAATGCTAGGCCAACTGCGAGCCAAGAGGTGAGGATGTGGTCATTGCTGGCTGTCTTAACTTGCGTCACGAATAGCACTTGCTCGGGAGAGACCCCGGCCACCACCCGCCAACCACCCCCCATCCCCACCCCCCAACCCACCGTCCTGTGCAGCACCGTGACAACCTGGATAGGATGGTTACCGCCCGGCATGCACAAGAAAAATGCAACAACCAACAAGAAGAGGAAGGCTGAGGAAGCCGAGGCTGCAAGACAGGCAACAGCGGCGGCGGAGCCCGCAACACCGCTGCCGGTTAAGCGACTGCATTCGTGGTTGGGGAGGATGTATCCACCTGACGCCTGTTTGCATGTCACTCCAACCAGTTATGACATATGCAGACATGTAGTAAAGACGTCTCTAGAAGTACACAGATGTAGTGCAGAGGTGTTGTAGATGTCTGTAGATGTCACAACCCGGCCAACGTCAGGCAACGTCTGTAGACGTCTACGGGTTAGACGTCTGCAAGACTTGCCCAGTTCCACATGTGCTGCCAGCGCTCCCCGGGACCCATTCACTACTAGTGGGGGGTACTGCACTTGGCGCGTCGGGCAGATCAAATAATGGTCTAAAGCTAGACGTTAAAACCGGGAAGTTAAGCCTGTGGAGGCTCTTCCCCACCTTTACCTTTACCTTTTTGCTCCCCGCTAGCTGCTCGTGCCTGTGTTACAGTCACCCCGCTATGATAGGCCGCGTGAGCAGACCTTGGGCAGGGGGCACACGTGATCAAGGGGCATCAAGAGAGGGGGTGGACCATGGAGCACCCTCTCCATGGCTCCGACCACCCTCCCCCCAGCTGAGCGTCCCAGGGTCACCCCACCCTGGCCCCGCTCCCCGTCCTGCCGGACACGCAACCCCCACAACGTGGTGGGGGACGTGGGGATCCTTAGCAGCTTAGGCCTGCCAGGCCGACGGGTGCCGATGCTGGTGCGGGCTCCCGGCGGCAGGCAGCGCCGCCGCCGGGCACTCAAATGGCATGGGGCACATGGGCCCCCATGCCCGCACATCTCCCAGGCACATGAAAATACCAGAAGGCTGCACATGTAAGGGTGCATGCATTGCAGGCAGGAGTGCAAAGTGGCCTGCCGCGGCGGTCGGCTGTGCCATTACTCAGTCAGCCGCCGCTACCGTGCCGGGCTTGGCGTTCCCATGCCAACATGCCGGCGTGCCATCGCGCAAGGGGCCAGTGAGTGTGTGAGGCGGAGGTGGGGGTGGTGGGGCTGCCGCTGACCGTTGCTTGCTGACGCTGACGCTGCTCTTACCTGCGGGGGGAGGGGGTGGGTCGGGAGCCAAGGCCGGGCAAAAGATGCCTGGGCCCTACTCAAGGGAACCGGGGGAGTCACTGTGCCAGGGCAGCAGCATGCTCCTCATGGCACCGGTCGGCAAACCGGGCCAGCCGGCCCTGCCTGGCCTGGCCGAGGAAGGCGGCCAGGGAGGGCAAGGCGTGGCCGGGACTGTGGAAGAGCTCAGCATACTCCTCCCTCAGCCCAGCGTATAGGGGGCAGTCATACACTGCGTGGCGTACGTCCTCTAGAGGGGCCTGGCAGTGGGGGCAGCAACAAGCAAAGAGTGCAAGTTCCTTTCCAAAACGGCATGGGCGCCTCGGCCACCGTCAGCACATGCTGCATCTACCCCAACGTGCTGCAGCGGCTCCAACCAATGCACGCCGCCTGGGATACGGGCAATGCAATGAAGGGAAGAGTGTGTGTCAACCAGCTGCTCTGACATGGGCTGGCTTCTCCACCGCCTGGGCAGGGCGCCCCGCCGCGCAACGAAGATTGCCCAGCTTGATCGCCGGCTGTGATTCTGAACTCAGAATGGAGCACCAATGAACTTCCAGCTCGCCGCTGCTGATGCTCGATCCGCAAGCGCAGTGCACCAGGGTGAACAGTCCATTCCGGTGCTGCTGGGCGGCAGGGGACGCGCAAGTGCGGCGGTGGTGCCGACACCGCCGGCGGCGCGCTCGGCGCTTGGTGGCGGGCACCACTGCGGCAGGGTGCCTGCTGCACTCCCGGTGCTTTCCACGGCAGGCCCCAGACACCCTTTTTCCCTCTGGAGGATTCAGTCTGCCGCGATCCCAGAGCGGCAATGTGCGGTCCAGCCTGCTGCCCGACGTCGCACACACACATTGGCCTGCACTCGTGTAGTCGTGGAACTGCTGCATCTGTGCCACAGTGGGCAGTGCCCACGGCATTGGCAGAAGGACACGGCATTGCTTTTAGAGCCCTTTTCTTGTCACCGCCGCTCCAGTTAGCGGCGGCGACCCCGACGCACCCACCCGCCGTCGAGACAGGCACCTGGCCCGCTGCATGACATTGCTGCTGGGGCCTGCCAGCCTCCCAGGCGCACTGCCTGCTGTTTGAGAGAGGCTTGTCACATGCATGCACGTGCACACTGTGTTGCACAGCCTGGGACAGTATGCACGCGAAACGCAGGTGGCTGGGCACAGCACCTCCATAGCAGCCAGTCAATGAATAAGTAAAGGAGAGGTGGAAGCGATCTTGGTAGGCAAACGCATTATGCTGCATGTGGAGGCAGGAAGGCAGCAGGCACGGTACCAAACCCGCGTGCAGCCGCGCACTCCATTGGCGCAAGGGACGGATCGTTGAAAAAGAGTGGCACAAACGGTCAGGTGGGTCGATGTATGGTCGATGTATGGTTCAGATCGGGGCATGCCTGCAGGGCAGTTGGCAGGCATCCTCAGCGGAAAAAGGAGGAGAGGGAAGAAAAGGGTCGAGGGGCGGAGGGGCGCCAGGGCTTGCATGGCAACGCAAATGTGGCAGGGGATGTAGAGAGGGTTGGTGGGGGGCAAAGCAGTATTGGGGTGCCGCTCGCTCCCCCAGAGCTCCTGCCGCTGCAGCCGCGGAGGGTGGACGGGTTGGCAGGCGAAGCGATGCGGGAGCTGCCGAGCGAGGAGCGGCAGGGCCTCAGCAGCAGCGAGGCCTCAGCAGGGCCAGACCGAAGCAATGCGGCCGCCTCAGCAGGGCATGGCTCCTGCATCCGAGCTGTACGAAGGGTAGCCCGAGAGGTCCAGGCCAAGCTCCAGCGCCGCCGCCCGCCCGAGGAGCTGCAGCGCATGGCGCGGGTGGCCGGGCTCGGGCCAGTTTCCAAGTCGGCCGGCAGCGGCGTGAGGCGAGGAGGGGACAGCAGAAGCCGGAGGGCCCCGCAGGGCGGCTGCAGCGCAGGAGGCGCGGGCGGGTACGGGGCAGCGCGCCAAGCGCAGCATGGCAGCTGCCCGGAAGCCGCCCAGCCCCACCCACCCACCCACCCACCCACCTCCAGCTGCGGGAAGTAGGGCCAGGAGAGCACAAACAGCTGCGGGCGCTGCACCGGGAAGGTGAGCGCGTAGAAGATGGCTGCAAGCGGGCGGGGCGCGGCGCAGGGGGCAGGCGGTGAGGTGGCGCCGGGGCACACGGGGGTGCGGCAGGCAGGGGAGAGTGAGTGCCCCTGCTGTAGCCGCCAGCCCAGCGGCGGACCGCAACCACCAGCTTGCCCCCAGCACCAGCCTCTCACCCCACCCAATCCCCACACAGCCATGCCACACACACAACGGGCCCCGCCTCTCACCCCCCCCAAAAACACATACACACCCTCCCCTCCCACACCCCCACCCCCACACAGCAATACAACACACAACAGCCCACCACAGCCTCACCGATGAGCAGCTCGCAGTAGGCGGCGTGCTGGGCGCTGGCGGTCTGCATGACGAGGCCGGTCGCCTCCGTCAGCCGCGTCGTGCTGCGCACAAACTCCTGCGGGGGGCGGCGGGGAGCGGCACGGGGACATAGCGTGTTTGGCAGGTTCGGCATGCAGGCGAACGAGTGTGGACCACAGCAGAGGAGCGCGGCGCGGCAGCGGGCGACGCAGCGGGGTGCAGGCATAGACGAGAGGCGTGCGGCTTGCCTGCGTGGAAGCGGCCCACATATTAGCCATCTGATACTCCGTCATACGGTGCACCTCTGCCAGCGCCTCTGCACGCCATGCGGGCACGGCGAGGGGAGACGGGGAAGCGCGCCAACGCATCAGCGACAGCATCAGCGGCGGCGGCAGGCCGGCACGGCCGGCAGCCCTGTGTTACAGTCACCCCGCTATGATAGGCCGCGTGAGCAGACCTTGGGCAGGGGGCACACGTGATCAAGGGGCATCAAGAGAGGGGGTGGACCATGGAGCACCCTCTCCATGGCTCCGACCACCCTCCCCCCAGCTGAGCGTCCCAGGGTCACCCCACCCTGGCCCCGCTCCCCGTCCTGCCGGACACGCAACCCCCACAACGTGGTGGGGGACGTGGGGATCCTTAGCAGCTTAGGCCTGCCAGGCCGACGGGTGCCGATGCTGGTGCGGGCTCCCGGCGGCAGGCAGCGCCGCCGCCGGGCACTCAAATGGCATGGGGCACATGGGCCCCCATGCCCGCACATCTCCCAGGCACATGAAAATACCAGAAGGCTGCACATGTAAGGGTGCATGCATTGCAGGCAGGAGTGCAAAGTGGCCTGCCGCGGCGGTCGGCTGTGCCATTACTCAGTCAGCCGCCGCTACCGTGCCGGGCTTGGCGTTCCCATGCCAACATGCCGGCGTGCCATCGCGCAAGGGGCCAGTGAGTGTGTGAGGCGGAGGTGGGGGTGGGTGGGGCTGCCGCTGACCGTTGCTTGCTGACGCTGACGCTGCTCTTACCTGCGGGGGGAGGGGGTGGGTCGGGAGCCCAGGCCGGGGCAAAAAGATGCCTGGGCCTCTACTCAAGGGAAACCGAGGGAGTCACTG